AGTCCACGGAGCTGCTGATCCGCAAGCTGCCCTTCCAGCGCCTGGTGCGCGAGATCGCGCAGGACTTCAAGACCGACCTGCGCTTCCAGAGCTCGGCCGTCATGGCGCTGCAGGAGGCCAGCGAGGCCTACCTGGTGGGGCTCTTCGAGGACACCAACCTGTGCGCCATCCACGCCAAGCGCGTCACCATCATGCCCAAGGACATCCAGCTGGCCCGCCGCATCCGCGGCGAGCGCGCCTGAGTCTCCGGCCGCAGCCCTTACCGGCTGGGCATTAAAGCGGCCCATGCAAACCCAAAGGCTCTTTTAAGAGCCACTACATGCACAGTTAAAAGAGCTGTGGCGCTGAGTTGAAAGAAATGTGGTTTTAGTACTGGAGGGGGGGGGACCTTCATATTTTTAAAGGCGTCTTTACCTAAAAAAATCTTGTGCTGTTGTAACATTAAGCTGTTCTATGATACACAGGTCAAGCTGTTAAGAGTCAACGTTTTAGAGCTTAATCGTGAAATTTCCAATGAGTTCTGGGAAATGTTTGCCTATTCTGGAGCCAGATAGGTTTTGTAGTTGAATAGTTTTTATTTTTATAATGTCCCTCCGGACCCTTTGTTCATCGGTATTTGCAGTTTTTCCAATATATCTTAATCTGTGGTCTTAAACCAATTATGTAAAATAAAAAATCCCAGAAAATTCAGAAACACCCATAAAAAGGGGCAGCAGCTACTGAAATCTTACAGTAATAAACCTGATTAATAAGTGCTTAAGTAATGCTTGAATGTATTTGTTTTAAATCAATTTTATTTTTCAGATCGGGAAGACCAAATAAGTTTAGAGATAAAGTATTTTCTTATAAATTAATGAATTCTTAAATACACCTTTGAAATATATGGCAATTGTCTGTGGTATGGATACGAGAGGGGAGAGACCAAGGCTGAAACGGGAGGCTCGTTTTCAGAAAAGACTTTGGCAAAGAGCACAGTAGATGGACAGTACTGGGGAACTACCCTTTAAACACCCGGCAGTTGAAGCAACATCGATAACAAGTAAAATGAAGGCTTGTCAGTAAATATCAGGGATCAGTAGGGAAAAATAGGTGCAACCCTGAAAAACACAAATAGAGCCTAAATAGGGTTTATGTTTGTTACTGAAAAAAGTAAGGTTATTTGGGATTTAAAATTAATGACAATGCTATTCAAATTATACACTATGAAAAAGATCCAAAGAAATTAAAGCTCTTTTGTTGAAAAAGTGGGTGGCTCTTAAAAGAGCCTTTGGGTTGAAATTATCGGACAAATGACTCAGAAGCAGTCTACTTGGAGCTGGTGTACTTGGTGACAGCCTTGGTGCCCTCGGACACGGCGTGCTTGGCCAGCTCGCCGGGCAGCAGCAGGCGCACGGCCGTCTG